ATATATATAAAAATATTTTAATTATTTATTAACAAAATAAAAAAAATAATTATACATATTATTAAAATATATGGTATTACATTGTTAAAACTTCGTTGAACACATTTTTTTTTTGAACTTCGATATTTCGTCGCCAACATTTTTGCAAAAAAACAGTCGCTGTACTTTAAATGTTCTTCAATTGGTATATCGGAAGGTTCCCATTTATATATTTCAGTATTGCAGTAGAAACATCGAACTACATCACTAACCCCTGTATAGTAAAACCCAGCTTTGCTTAACAACAGGGGTTCAACTGCACCCTTCCAATATTTAAAAGAAAGTAAACGGTCTTCAAATTGCCGCCCAGTACGAGATATACTATCATTGTTACCGTCGTCAAGACACATATTTGACTAATAAGTTAGTTCGGAAAATAATCTATATATGTAAACTTATATTGGAGGGAGGTATAAGCTTGAAATTTTTAAACAATTATCACATTAATAACACTAATTGTGCTATAAAAAAATTTATATTAACAAAAAAACTGACAACAAGATACAAAACCAATAAGACCTTGACCGTTTGTTCACATTTGTTACCCACGTTCATATAATAAAAAGAATAAAACCTTGACCGGTTATTCACCTATCTTTGTTTGAACCGGTTTTTTGAATGCATATTCACTTTTTCTTGTCTATGGTCGGACTATAGAATTAAAAGAAAAAATCCAACAAGTAATCTATCTGTATGGAGTTCATCAACACTCGAGCTGTCAGAGGACTTATCTTCTTTGTCGGAGAGTGACATGTCTGATGTAGAGAATGACAGTTTATTGTATAGTGACGTGGAATTTCAGGATGTATCGGAAAATGATGTGTTTTTGGAACCTGTGATAGCACCACCCGAACTGATTGAGGATGTATCGGAAAGTAATATGTTTTGCGACCCAGAGATAACACCATTCGAACTAATTAATGAACCGATAATTATCTATTAATCGTTTAAATATTGTACTTTATTATGGTAATATATTTGTAATTCAATTATGTTGCAAATCCTTATTAGTTATTTTTGTACTCAAATTCTATACTTATAACCATATACTTACCATGAAGTTTTATTGAAATCTCTTTTTAATAACTGTATTTAAAAATTTAAAATAAATGTCTTAATGCTTTTATGTTTTCTCCTTTATTACATACAAAAACAAAATACATGGTTATAACAACAAATCTACTAAGTTATAAATTTGAGCTGGAGGGTTAAAAAATAGCACAAGTGATCAGGTTTTACTATCTAGGCGTCGCACTATCTAGCTATGGAAAGCTTAAAACAGAAGTGGAAGATCATGTTTATAGAGCAGAGCTGAAGGTTACCTGAATGAAACAATATGGAAAAAAAAATATTAGGAAAGAAATGAAAGGTAGGATTTACAAAACAGTCATCAGGTCAATAATGACATACGCAATAGAAACACAACCTGACACAGAGAGAACAAAAAGAATGTTAGAAACAGCAAAGATAAAAACCCTCAGAAAAATCGATGGTAGGGTACTATGGGATAGAGCTAGAAGTCTAAATCTTGAAAAGAATGCTAGAAACAGCATAGATAAAAACCCTCAGAAAAATCGATAGTAAGACACTGTGGGAGAAAGCTAGAAGTACAGATATACTACGGGGATGTACGGTGGAGAACATCAAGAAATAGGGGAAATAGAAGAGTAGAATGAAATAATTATATGAGTCTAATAACAAAAAATAGAGTAGTAAAGATGGTAAGAGACTGTCACCTAATGGGGGTGATTAGCGGAAAGACCATGAAAACGATGGAGCGACAACTTACTGGAGGAGCATTGAAAAACGTATAGAGTCATATCTACACGAAATAAAGAAGAAGAAAATATAGAAACACAATTTTTAGATGTTTTTTATTAAAAACGATATAGAAAATCACAATGAAAGTCATGTATACACAAAGTGAAGAAGAAGAAGAAAATATAAAAACAACAATTTTTAGATATTTTTTATTAAAAAATAAACAATATATACAAATATAAACATAATTAAAAGTAAACTATATATACTTATATACACAAAATAAAGAAGAAGAAAATACAGAAACAACAATTTTTACATATTTTTTATTCAAAATGAAACAATATATTTATATAAATATCTAAACACAATTAAAAATAAACTATATAGACTATATATACCTATATACACAACTAAAACTAAATATTATATACAAAAATAGACTAAAAAATAGACTAAAACTAAATTTAATTTACAGGGTCGTCGGGGTGGGATCTGTAACAAAGAAATAGCAGAATGTAAAACCACATAAAATATCATAATGATGTATAAAATTAAAGGTGACACTTAATGAAGAAAAAATTAAAATTTCACAATAGAGAATAAACTAAATTTTCCTTGTAAAAATTCATGGACCTGTTTTATTATAATCCTAAAGAAGGGAAGGTTGGTGTACAAAATTAAAGGTGGTACTTAATAAAGAATAAATTAAAATTCTGTAATAAATAATAAATGAAATTTTCACTTGTAAAAATTTGTGAAAACTGTTTTAATTGTGATCGTAAAAAGTAAAAGTTAAGGTAAAAAATTGGTTAACTCACGGTTTACTTGTCCCCCAGCATCGCAGGACATCGCCACCAGCATTTTTGTTGAGCAAGTCTGTAACAAACAAAAAACATTATTAGTATTGTAATTATCATTATTATCATTGCGTAAATTTTTTAGTAAAATTGTTGCAATATATTATAATAAAAATTCTTACCTTCAGAATCTGATCTCAGAGCGTTGGTCAGGAGAGTTTTGGTGTATTCTGAATTTTCTATAAAACGGCGTTGTTCTTCGTGGAAAGCCTCCGACAGTTTTTCCGCATATGAAAAAATGTTTTGGACAGCTTTCTTAAGGAGCTCACTATCCTTTAAACTCCTGTCCAAACTGTCCTGGAGACGGTCCTGATGACGTTCAAGTGCCGACACAAGCCCTCCTTTAAAATCCTCACAAAATTGTTGGTTTTGAGCCTTCACTCTGTTTGGGATTTGGAGAGCGCTGGCCACTACTTTACTAAATAACGGCTCTGTCTCGATTAGTTTTTTTTCCCAGACTTGAACCTTAGTCATGGGTTTGTAGTGGTTTTCATCATCAGGTCCGTCTTCAGGGTCGGAGATATCCTCGAAAGGTGTAGAGGTGCTTGGAGAAGTGTGCACCTCCGCCGCTACTTGCTCAACCATTTCATGTCTGCGTGCAGCCTCTTCGGCGGCATGAAGAATGTCATCCTTAATAAATGTGGATGGCTGAACTACATTCTTATTAACCGCGGAGTGCACCGTCGCTTTAGTTTTTAATTTTTTTTGACTGTTTATTTTAAAAATAAGGCGCTGGGCCTCACTAATTTTTTTTGCGCTGACGAAAACAACACTCTCTTCCGACGGTGCACGCTGCCTATCCCTTATTTCGCAGACCGGAGAAGAAATCGAAGACGGGACCGATCTTGGTGATAGCGATGCGATCGCGGACGGAATTGAATTTTCACACACCGGCGGCGGCGACTCGATTAAAGATTGAAGTACACTTTTATTAGTAATACATTGTTTTTTATTGAATGGTTTCACAAACTCCGGCCCACTTTCAAATAAAATTCTTTTCTTTGCCAATAACCCCGGCTCGCGACGCGCAGAACGTTGTTCGGTTTTCATTGTGAACAGAAGAGACTATTTGAAATTGCATGAACTTAAACGGGGTTATATACAACAAACCGAACCCAAGCCAAGCAACGCGAAATGGTGGGTAAAACAGGATCTACTCTTGCTGTAACAATGAAAGGTGAATACTCGAAGGCGATGTAAGCTCTCGCAAATGAAGTGAATACTCTTCCATGACCTCTACATAAACAAAGAAAGGGTATTGACCGGCTATAGTTGAGTTTATGTCTGCACAGCTTTGCACTTATTGTTGGTTTGCACATCAGTGGTTTTTTAATTTTTTTTTTTTTTTTTTTAATTTTTTTTTTTTTTTTAATTTTTTTTTTTTTAAATTTTTTTTTTTTTAATTTTTTTTTTTTTTTTTTCATTTTTTATATTTTTTTATTTTTGAGGTTTTTTTTTTTCTTTATTTTTAGTCCTACACCCACCTTCCAACCACTCTAATGAAAGGTCTTGACGCCAGGAATACGAATATGTTATTACTTTGAGAAAAACTAAACGCGTAAAGCGGTAAAACGCTAAAAAGCGTATTTTTAGTCCTACATCACGTTTCGACCACTCTAATGAAAGGTATTGACGCCAGGAATATGAATATGTTATTACTTTGAGAAAAAATTAACGCGTAAAGCGGTAAAACGCTAAAAAGCGTATTTTTAGTCCTACATCACGTTTCGACCACTCTAATGAAAGGTATTGACGCCAGGAATATGAATATGTTATTACTTTGAGAAAAAATTAACGCGTAAAGCGGTAAAACGCTAAAAAGCGTATTTTTAGTCCTACATCACGTTTCAACCACTCTAATGAAACGTATTGATGCCAGGAATACGAATATGTTATTATTCTTTAAAAAAAATTATGCATATAGTAGTAAAGCGGTAAAAAGCGGTAAAAAAACTATTTTTTGTTAAATTTTACTTTTAACCCTGCTTATAAATGCGGTAATTATCTATATTTGGAATATATTGTTAATTTTTGTAATTATTTACTCTAATAATACCATAAAACCGGTATTTCCAGTTTAAAACCGGTAATCAAAACAAGTTTATATTTATACCCCACACTTCTTTCGTTATTGTTCATTCTTGTGTCGTACAGTCACCTAGCTTCAGTCAACAACCATGCAGTGTAACTCTTGTTTAAAAGTTTTATCCAACAAAAGCAGTGTAAGTAGGCATAAACGGGAAAGTTGTCCGGAACGATTCAATAAAGGGAAAAATGTGAAACTTAATGATGACCCAGATGTTGTTAGATCAGCTAATAATTACAATTCAACCATTGTAGAAGCAACTCCCTTTAGATCTATTGTTCATCCAGTTACCACTACATCCAATGTTATCGAATGTCAAGATTGTTATAAAAAAATTTCTGGGAGAGGGCTAACAGGACATTTACGTAGTAATTCGCACAAAAGTGTTATTAGTAATGATAGTGGGGTTGAGAAACTATCAAGTGCGTTTAAAAATCGTATCGGTAGTTACCGCCTTTCTAGCAACAAACATCATACTGATTACTTAGAATTTTTTAGTGAAATTGAAGGTAACGTTTTGAAGCTCCTACATAACTATTTACATAAATTTAAAGTGTTAAAAGTTAATTTCGAACTTTACTCTATGTACACAATACCTGAAAAAGATACTTATGATTTAAAATCATTTAATACAAAAAATCAGATTATTACTATTTCTACTAATTTGAAACAAGCATATCAAGATTTTATTAGGGAGATATTACCCAAGGTTTCGGAAATACAAGAAAAGGAATCTGGATGGAGTCTTTTACAAATCCAATCATTAGAAGTTAACATTAATAAGTACAACCCTCTACGATCTTCTTCATATATCAGGTTACCACGACAAATCGAGATGAAGAAAGCAATTATTAATATAACGAATAAAGATGAAGCATGTTTTGGTTGGGCGGTAAACGCATCAATTTTTGACCCAACAGGTAAATCCAATCTTACTACTTCTTATCCGCATTATACTAGTCTCTTAAAGTTCCATAATATAGAATTCCCTATGAAACTCTCAGATATACCAAAATTTGAATTACTTAATAATATTTCGATTAACGTTTTTGGGATTAGTGAATGTTTTAAAAATAATATCACACAATTGGAAATCGTTGGGCCGTTATACCATACAAAATCTAAAAAAGCTACACATGTTAACCTATTACTTATTTTTGATGAGTACGGGAATAGTCATTATTGTTACATTAAAAATTTATCGCGGTTAATATCAAAACAAAAATCACACCATAATGGTCAGACTTTTCTATGCAATGGTTGCTTACAATTTTTCTCATCCTTAGAACGTCTTCGCAAACATGAAGATAACGATTGCAACTTTCTATATACTAAGCTTCCAACTACCAACATGATTCTCAATAAATATGGACATTTACAAAAAGAAAATATTTTACAATTTTCCAACTTTCAGAAACAAATGCAAGTTCCGTTTGTTATATATGCTGATTTTGAAAGTATACTGCAACCGATACAATATGCAACACCTTCTGATAATTCCTCGTTTACTGTCAAAACCTATCAGCATACACCATATTCATTCGGTTTTTATGTTAAATGTTATTTTGATGACAGTTTATCAGAACTTATCATTTATCGCGGTGACAACGTGGTTGAGAAGTTTATTCAAAAACTAGAAGAAAAAGTTTACACTATTTATCATAAATATCTTAAATATATTAAACCTATGAAAAAACTCACGCCAGAAGAGGAATTACAATTTTTTACTAGTAAATGTTGCCACATTTGTGATAAACCGTTCGATATTAACGAAATTAAAGTCAGAGATCATTCACATCTAACAGGGTTGTTTTCTGGCGCAGCGCATAACGCTTGTAATTTAAATTACAAATTACCTAAGTTCATACCTGTTTTCATGCATAATTTAACCAATTACGATTCACATCTGTTTATAACAAAATTAGCTCAAAATAACGAAAAAATTGATGTTATTGCACAGACTAAAGAAAAATATATATCATTCACCAAACTACTTTTAGTTGATCGTGGTGATTTAGAGCAAAATATATATTTAAAATTAAGGTTTGTGGATTCTTTCAGATTTCTACCTCATTCACTGGATAATTTAAGTAAAACCCTAAATAATAATCAATGTCTAGAGTTACAAAAATATTGTCGATCAAATGAAGAGTTCGGATTGTTACGACAAAAAGGTGTTTTTCTTTATTCATACCTGGATAACTTTTCAAAACTTGGTGAGGTATCTTTACCCACACAAGAAGAATTTTTCGATATTTTAAAAGGTGAAGGCATTTCCGATGAAAAGTACTTACGAGCTAAGCGAGTTTGGGAAGTTTTTAATTGTAACACATTAGGAGAGTACTCAGATGTTTATTTAAAATCAGATATTTTATTATTAGCTGATGTGTTCGAAAACTTTCGACGTAATTGTTTATTTAACTATAAACTAGATCCTGCTCAATATTTAACAGCTCCATCACTTAGCTGGGATGCTATGTTGCGTAAAACTAATGTTCAGCTTGAATTATTGACGGATATAGACATGCTCCATTTTTTTAAAAAGGGTATACGTGGAGGTATAAGTCAGTGTAGCACTAGATTTGCTGCTGCAAATAATCAGTATGCTAGATGCTACAAACCTTTATGGTTACGCTATGAGTCAATTCCTTCCGCATGGTGATTTTCGATGGTTAGATGATGTAGAAATCACTCATTTTGATTGTTTATCAGTCGATGATGAATCTCCAAAGGGGTATGTCTTAGAAGTTAATTTAGCTTATCCTGAAACATTACATGATTTCCATAACGACTTACCGTTTTGTCCTGAAAATCTGATTCCTCCTAATAGTAAAGATCCCAAGCTTGTATTAACGTTATTACCGAAAAATAAATATATTATCCATTATAGAAATTTGAAACAGTGTACTGAACAAGGTTTAAAGATAACTAAAATTCATCGAATTCTAGAATTTTCTCAATCACCGTGGTTAAAACCTTATATTGAATTAAACACAAATTTACGTAATTCTTCAAATAATGAATTTGATAAAAGTACATATAAAAATTACACAAACTCCATTTACGGGAAAACTATGGAAAACGTTGATAAGAGGGTTGATATTAAACTTTTATCCCACTGGAAAAACTTGCCTGGAAGCGTCGGTGCTGAAGGGTTTATTAGTATGCCGAATTTTCACTCTGTTTCAATATTTTCTGATAATTTAGTTGCAATTCAAATGAATATCCTAAAAATAATTTACGACAAACCGGTGTATGTCGGTTTTTCAATTTTAGAAATATCCAAAATTCGTATGTATGATTTTTTTTACAATTACATTAAAGCTAAATATGTAGATAATGCCTCACTTTTGTATACCGACACTGATTCATTAATTTTACACATTCAAACAGAAAACGTTTACCGCGATATCAAAGAAAACCTTCATTTATTTGATACATCCAATTACCCCGCCGATAATATCTTTAATATACCAAAAACACCATCAGTGGTTGGTAAATTAAAGGATGAGTTTAAAGGTAAACCAATTAAAAATTTTTGTGGTACTGGTGCCAAAGCTTATTGTGTGACATTAAGTAACAATGATAACCTTAAAAAAGCTAAGGGAATTTCCAAAAACGTTATAAATAAATCTTTAACATTTACGGATTATAAACAAGTAGTTGATAATACTAATGCGAAAATTTATCGTAAAATGTATACATTTAAGTCACATTTACATGAAATGTATACTGAATTAAAAAATAAGGTTGCTTTAACTTCCCACGATGATAAGAGATATGTTATACCCGGAACTATTAATACATTAGCGTGGGGTCATTACAAAATAGATACGTTTATACCTAACCAACAACAACAAAATCTCGATTATTTAATCCAGCAAGCTAAACTACTTCTACCAGAAGCAAAAAATGATGGTGGGGATGAATTTTATGTAGACAGTTTTGAAATGGATTTTTTATCGTAGTGGGGGAGTTTGTTGGTGGGGTGTTTGTTTAATAACACGTTGTAGAGCTAATTCCTACAGTTCTTCATCAGCTTTACTGCTAGTATTTACAATGTGGATGTGTTACGTTACCGAAATTGAAGTTACGGATTTAAAAAGTGGTGTTCAAAACTTACACCAACTTTTTTCAAATCTGGAGTTTGATGCTTCTCATGAAGCCGTTTATGGTGCAGTGCGTCCATCATCTTATTCTCCAGAATTTTGTACAGAATTAGCTAAAAAATATGAAAAAGGTGCTAAAATCTGTGTACTTAAACTCAACTCAACTTAAACTCAAGAAATCAACTTGTATCTTAAAAACCAAATATGTTTATATGGATTTGTATCGTTACTAAAAGCTGTAAAGTTGGATGGTTATTTAATTCGAATAAAAGACTATCTTCCATCTGTTTTATACGAAAAAGAAGAAAATAGCGAAGATGATACTTCCAATAATGAAGTTATTGATACAGACATTGATGGTATGGTTGAAGATGGTTCAAGTAAATCACAAACTTAATAATCTTATATTTAGACTTTATTGTATTAACGGTATAATGTATTTAATAAAAGCATTTCTGTACTAATAATATTTGTTTTATTTGCGTATTTAGCATTTATTAATAAGGTGTGAGTGTAAAATGTATCTTGTTTTCACCACATATTCTATATATTGAATTTATCCAAATAAAGCTACCGTGTTTGGAACACTATTGTACTTCACTATTCTGTTTCACTATTTACCTACTTCTTGTTTTTTTCCTTATTTTACCTTATAAAATAAAGTTATCTATTACTATTTCTTGTTTTTACATACCTGAACTGTTTGACTTTCACTGGTAATGTATATTTTTATTCTTCGTGTGTAACGTTCATTAACCCCTTGACCATTAACCTTGACCGTTAACCTTGACCGTTCATTGACTCCTTGACCGGTCTTTCACCCCTTTACTGGTCGTTGACCCCTTGACCGGCTATTGACCCCTTGACCGTTCATTGACTCCCTGACCGTTCATTAACCCCCTAACCGGTCTTTGACCCCTTTACCGGTCGTTTACCCTTTGACCTTGACCGGTCGTTGACCCCTTGACCGGTTATTGACCCCTTGACTGGTCGTTGACCCCTTGACCGTTCATCGACCCCCTGGACCGGTTTTTGACCCATTTACCGGTCGTTGCCCCCTTAACCTTGACCGGTCGTTGACCTCGTCAGTGGTGGGGAGTATGAGGTGTGGTGGGGGGTATACAAAATGGTGGGGGTCAATAGTGGGGGGTATACGGACGGTGCGGCTAGAACTCTCACCCCTTACCTTATCATTGGAGGGAGGTATAATAATGGTGGGGGGGTCGGTGGTGGGGGGTATACGAACGGTGCGGCTAGAACTCTCATTTGCCCTCTACTGATGCAATTTTATTTTAATATTTATTTATTTTAAATATATTTGTATTTAATTTAAACCTGTGTTTTACTGAGTCTGCTGTCTAAAACAGTTACCCGTCACAGAGTATTTTTGTTAACTTGTGGAGTTACATCCATATTATTGCCAATTATGTTATCGACGACCTCGCTTCCAACTGGATTAACAGTAATAAAATTGTCAAAGCTGCTCACATATACAACTTGAGGCGTCAAATCTACATTATCATATTATTTTATCGACCAGCTCGCTTCCGTCTGGATTACCGGTGATACAATAATTGTCGAAGCTGATCACAGTTTGTGAGCATTCTCCGATATAAAATTTGTTTAGGATTCGAGATGAAAAAATGTTACTTTTGAAGTAGGAACAGTAGAAAATAATGGAATATATAAAATTCAGTCTAATAAATCTACATACGTAGCACTACCCCAGTTAACCCAGGTATATCGATTTTGAAATGAACGAAACCCCAGTATTTTTTGTCGCTTGGCTTTTTAAAAAAACATTCTGCTTTTATAATGTTTGTTTAAAAAGAACCAGCGGCAAAAAAATAATGTTATATATTTGGTTCATTTTTCAAATTGAATATTATTACTTAAGGATCAGGAGAATCTCTAATACTAAATTCTAATAATGTTGTACCTGACATATTCACGTCACTCAATCGTTCTATGCTCCTACCAAATTCATCTTTATGAGATTCTGTAAGTACTGGAGGCCACCCAAGTCGTTTTGGTAAACTGCTACTAGCTAGATGGTTACGTAACGTATGCAAAAGAATATTAAATGTAAGTGTTGCCTTATGAACAGCCATGCCATTTCTTACGGCATTCATTTCAGCTTCTCTTTTGTCCACTGTGTTTTTTTCCTGGTGTACATATCTGCAAAGAAAAAATAGTTTAAAGGATTATGTCAATAAATTGTTTATAATGTCAACCAGCTCTTAATAAGGTCAGTCAACTCTTAACAAGACCAAAAGTTTTGCGCTTTTTAAAATCTTAATTTATTTATGCAACTTAAATACGATGCATTTTAGAGAAAAGTTACTAGGGACTTTGTGGCTCAAAATGAGCCAGTTAATCCTAAAAACCGGAACTGGCAAAAAATTAAAATTTTAAAATTTGTTTAAAAATTGTTTAAATAATTTCTGACCAAAATTTTCTTTTAGCAACATGAACTTTTGCTATAAGGGGACTATTCCAAGTAAGATTGTGCAAAAATATGAAATGATAATATTTTTCCTAACCAGTTCGCCTATACTACCAGCGTTAGGTATAAAAGTATAAAATCCTGATAAAAAACGAATCGCACTGATAAAGCAAAAATATTTTTATTTTCTTATATTTAAAATTTAAGTAAAAAAAATTAGATATGTAACGTTACCTTCAAAGGAAATAATTTGTTTCAATAATTTAATGCGCTTATTATTAGCCTGTTACTTTTTCAGAATGTTTGCTGAAGTAAAAGAGGTTTTATTTGTAATCTGACATATAACATACACATTTTTAAAATCGCTTGTGGGCGTTTTTATAAATTTTTTATTGGCTCTTTTATTTGGTCTGCTTACGATATATTTATGAAAGGTAGTTTGACGTAAATACCTTATTTGCGATAAAGCTTCTGTTTTCAATAAGCTGTTTGCTTGATTCGTTTTTGTATATTAACTTAATTCTGTTTGGTAACGGTAATGGATTAAATAATCAAAATAAATAAAATGTTGAAACACAAAGATAAAACTGGCAATTTTATTATTTAAAATGCTAATTTAAAATATAGAAAGAAGAAATAAACGCTTATATGTTCGCTATACATTTATAAAATGTAAATGTATAAAAAGTGTAGACAAATTCACGAGAGTATTTCAGTACAGTCAGAGAACTACGAACACACAGTGTGTTCGTAGTCCACAGGTATAGTGCCTATGAGAACCGACATGGGTTCCAAATGACGACACTGTACAAAAACATATCCAGACAGTACCCAGACAAAACCACAATTTTGACGAGAATTTTCATTTATGGGAATTGCATCGTGCCCTTGAACAAAGAAATAATACTTCTCCAGGTATTGATAATGTGTCATATTCGCTATTATACAACCTACCTATAGAATATAAAATTTCACTAGTAAACATTTTCAACAATATTTGGACAAATAAGACACCAGTACCAAATAGTTGGAAAGAGTATCTGGTAATTCCCATTAAAAAACCTGGCAGACCAGAAGGTGATCCAAGTTCTTACAGACCTATCTCTTTATCTTCATGTCTTTTAAAAACATTTGAAAGAATAATTAAAAATAGATTTGAACATTGGCTAGAACACGATGGTATACTTCCAAGTTCCCAATATGGTTTTCGCAAGTCTAGGTCCAATCAAGATGCAAGTACAGCTCTAGTTACTTCAATTCAGCTTAATTTCACATCAAATAAGTCTACAGCAGCTGCATTCCTTGACATTTCTGCTGCTTTTGATAATGTCAATTTAGACAGTCTTTACCAAAAAATGTTGTATATCGGAATCCCTAGATTATTTGCTCTCTTTTTAAAATCTTTATATTCTAACAGACTAACTTTTTTAAAAATTAATAATGAGGAATTTTCATACCCCTGACTAACTAACATTGAATTGCCACAGGGGAGTATTTTAAGCCTGATTTTATATATCCTGTATAACATAGATCTTGAAGTTAGTATACCCAACCATACAAATATTCTTCAATATGCTGATGATGTTGTTTTATATACAGCAGGAAAATTGTTAAGTACCTGTGAGGAGAATTTAAAAGTCACATTAGAAATCGTAAATCAGTACTATGAAGAAATAGGCTTATCAATTTCTGACACAAAAACTGAAGTGTGCTATTTTTCACAAAACCATAGAGTTCCACAAGGCAATCTTACTGTGGGAAAATTTAATTTCCCTATAAAAAACTGTATTAAGTATCTTGGTATGTATCTAGACAGGAAATTGTTATGGAAAGATCACATTCATCAAATTGTTAAAAATCGGAAAACTCAATAAACATTTTAAGAGCTTTCTCTAAAACAAATTGGGGAGCAGATCCAAATATTGCTTTGATGTTTTACCGTAAAATGATTAGGCCGATTTTCGACTATAACTGTCATTTATTTGGATCAGCGGCCAATACACACAAACAAACTTGAAGTTCAAAAAAATAAATGCCTGAGATTATGTCTCGGTTATTTAAAATCCACTCCAGTTCAAATAATGGAAAATGAAGCGGTGGAACATCCATTGCATTTACGACGCCAATTACTCATAGGTACTGGAGAACTAAAAAATCTATACCTTTGGTAGAAAGCTATGTAAGTACTGTAAAATACAACGATATTCTCTATAAAAGTCAAATTCCGCCCTACTATGGTGAAATGGCCAAAACACTATTTTCTAGAAAAGTTAGGATATGTTACTTAAACTCACATTTACTCCCAAATATGTTTGATATAATTATTAAAGAAAAATGATCAAATTATCAGTACATTTTTACTGATAAGTCAAAAAATTCAAATGAAACGGGCTGTGCAATGTTCCACGAAAAT